TACTAACCATATATATAAGAATAGGGAGAATAAATATAGTCACAAAGTGATATAAGGTGAGGATAAGGCTAAACAACCTTCACTGGAGTCATGAAGTTTACTCATTTTATTGTGGGAATTCCACTTTAATTCATCACCCTACACGACCCAGTGTGAATTATGCTCTTCTTCGCCTTGACTATGTGTATCACACGTAGGACTCGTTAGCCTCACGACTTGTTGACCGTGGTCTGCTCTGATCATACCAAATATCCGGTAAGTCACAAGATGTGTAAATCTATGCAAAGCCCCTTTGCTTTCCTGTGATATAGAACTAAATACTTCATTTCACACAAATGTTTGCCCAGAATAATAGTTGCGCTTTAGACTTAGTTCACAATTGGATAATTACTCTAGAGGTGTTTGCTCTAAGGATGGGACGAAAAAGTTCTCAAGCTTTATGATTTACAGCCAACAGTTCATCACGGCGCCAAAGGATCATAAAAAAACGAGGCAGGAAAGGATGCTGTAATCAAGCCTTAACAAAGCCTATTAAAAGCAATTTAATCTCCTATTATGCTCCTGTATACTATCATAAACCGGTAAGTGATATAAATTTAATTCGTAATTGAATGGTATCGAGTGAATTATTGTGAAATCTTACACAGCGGATTGGAAATTTTGATAGTCGTCAACTTGAGTTCCAAATGCGAGATATCCGAATTGGGCGAAGGCAAAGAAGACGATGAAAAACATGACTGCAAATCCGACCAGATCGCCAACACAACGGCTCAGGGTTTGACTGAGTTGGCTCATAGTTTTGTTGAAACCCACATACTTAAATATCTAAAGGTATTAAAAATATGCACAAGAACAAAGAATAAAAATAGGGTATACTTTAGGTTTAAAGGTCTATCTTAACTTGAAAAAGTGTGATTGTCAAACTCAAATATTAGATATTTTTCCACTTTTTAAGTAGATTTTCGAGACTGTCAGTAAACCTGATATATGAGATGTACAGACACTATTTCGCTTAAGATGATAATAGACTCTTAGTTGAATTTTCCCACAATGCTATAAATAAAGCTGGCAATTCCAATGGATTTCGCATAGTCTTGCTTTACCGAAAAGTGTTCTCATCCAGAGTGGATTGCAGTTTCGACCTCTCATAAGTCGTATCAACACCCTAAGCGGGAGTCGAACCATGAAAGGGAAGTATGTAATCTCGACATGTTAAACACTTCGCCACATTGCCACGAGTGCTCCTGGGTCACAGGGCAGATGTGAATTTAAGGAAAGTCAGGCATTTTCCATATCACATTATTTGGTGGGTTTGTCGATAAAGCAAAGTTATATTTGCACTAAAATTCGACTATATTACTTATTTCAGGTTTATAAGTAGTGTACGCAAGATGAATACATCTCATATAAATGATGCACTGGTAGTCTCGAAATGCTACTTATAAACTAAAAAGAAGTAATATGGTAGATTGTTTTTGTAACTATAACTTTGCTTGGTCGACAATCCCATTAAAGTGGCGTAGCGGTTAACGTGTCGAGATTATGCACTGCTCTGTCATGTTTCGAGTTTCGCTGGGGGCGTTGGTAAGACTTAGGCGAGTTTGAAACTGCAGTCCACACCTGCCTAGAAGAGATTACCTTTCGGTAAAACAAGGCTATGCAAAATTCAATGGAAATGCCAGCGCTATTCGCATTATTGTGTGAAAATTCAATTATCAGTCGTTATATCACCTTAAACGGAATAAGGTTACTACATCTCATATTTCTAAAGATAAGATTGTCCGTCCGAATATGCTGCCACTTCTACCTTTTGATATACCTTATAGATTTCTTACATCAGCAAGTATTCATTCTTTTACACTCACTTTAAAACAAAGTCTAAATACGTTATTTAACAAGTAAAAAACAAATCAACCCAGAATATAAAAAACTTATAAAGTCTCATAACATCGATTCTGTTCTTAGGGATAGTGTGATATTAACAGGAAACCCATTATCGCAAGCTTTTACCAAATAAATTTTATGCTAATCCTATCATTTGTATGCAAGCCTTTAATTTCCAACTTTTGCTTTGAACACAAAATACTTTTCAGTGTACAAGAATACACAATTTAAATGGATCACGCATTTCCCCAGATCGGTTTAATCCGAATATATTGGAGCTACAAAGGCATATTTAACATCCACGTTCTACGCAATCCTAGTCTTAACTTAGCGAAAAGAGAATAGGAGTGTAAAATGACAAATAAAATCACAATAATACAGACACGCGATTTTGATGACTAGCCTATGCATAAAACGTTCAAACTTACCTTAATCCAGGCGATGAAGACGGTAATCGCAATGGCATAATCAAAGTTCACCTGCCAGTAGCTGAGAAGGTCAAAGTTAGCATAAACATCATCGCCTTGCTTAAGGAGACCCTGCAATATCTTGTCAACCGAAATGGTTCGGTATATGTTGAATGCTGCACATATGAAACTGATAACAATTAGCAGTAGGTCGACCCAACTCCAAAACTGCGATAAATAAGGCATAAGTCCTATTCTTTTGAGCTGCAAAGAAGAAAAATGAGAGTAAACAGCTGCGAATGAGATGGTATTTCAAAGGTCGTGTGTTGCAAAAGTAATAATATTTCAGAAGCAAACTTTGTCATTTGTGGAGTAAGTTTAATCAAAAAATTTAATCATCTATTAATTAGACTTTAATCTTCGATTAATTCATAAAATGCCATAAAATAAAAAATTTCGTATTTTTTAGAAAAACAATCCATGTCAAACAGAAGACTTATTAAAAGCACCAAATGGCTTAAGAATCAGGAGTGATTCATCACTCTCCAATAAAATGACAACAATAAATGCATTATTTGTTTGAGCATGACCATATTAATAAAAAATCACAGCAGGCTTTCATGGATATACAAACTTTATTATTTATGAGATGTATTCACCCAATTTCGTTTAAGGTGATGAAGGACTGGTAGAAGAAGAATTTTCCCACAATGAAATGAGTTTAGCTGACATTTCCATTCAATTTCACGTCAGCTCAACTTATATCATTGTGGGAAAATTCTTTTTCTACCAGTCCTTCATCACCTTAAACGAAATCGGGTGAATACATCTCATATTACTGATTTACTGGTAGACACGAAAAACAATATTTAATTCGAAAAATAAAGATTTATTATTTATATTCGACAGAGACATGGAGATATTTTTGTGAGATTGCGTTCTGTTCTAAAAATGTATACATATGCATGCCAAAATAGCATTACAATTTAGTTGATAAAGGAGAACGATGCCTAAAAACTCTTTCTCTTCGACATGAAGAGTTAGTCAAGCTTTTGAGCACACCATGACAGGAGCATGTTATACTCATTATGTAAGCAAGCCAGAACATTAAGCTACCCACACTAAACACTATTCTCTATTTTTCGAAAATATCCTTTCGTAGAACGTTAGCTAAGCTAGTCGTCAATATTCGAAGAGAAGTGTCGATTTGGCGGCAAAATTCGTCCTTCTAATGTAGACTCCATCACAGTTTTGCTCTCGTCTTCGTCTCACCTTAATGACCCTTGCGGGATTTGTAGTACAGCCACGAAGAATCGTATTACTACTTAGTTTTCAGGATGAGACAAAACCTAAATCTATCCACTCTTCCAAGTGTAATTAATATGTCAGCATTTAATTAACAGGTCAAGTAAAATTAACCTGACATATTCGGGCTTGAGAATCTTTCAAAAATAAAATGTAAACTTGAGCAAGCAAAGTGTTTCTTATACATTCTAACAATAAATTTACTTAAATCTACCATATTGCTATTGATAATTCTGCAGAGATAAATGCATTATACTTTTTTTCCAGTCTTGTGCGCCATCAAAAGCAATAAAACCGATATTTCCGGTATTCCTTAAATCATAATATCGCAGATGATGTAATTGCCTTAGAGCTTTGCGCGTCTTGATAGCTTACCTCGAAAAATTCCTCTATTATGTAGTAAAGAATGAATATGACGAAGACCACTTCACAGGCAAGCAGCAGGTAATCCGTGGATGAGACGTAGCGGAGAAGATTTACAGCTCGATACTCAACGCTTGTTAGAGCTCCACCAGTGGCGCCAAACTCGGCAATAAGTCTGTATTCAGGCAAATTAAGCAATTGTGCAAAATCTTGACAAATCAAACATTGAAATATCCTTGAATCGTAAGTCTATCAAAACAAATTGAGCTAGCAGAGGTTGAGGATAGTCGCTTTGGTGATTCAATGTCGAGTTACATGTGACAAAGTTGAAAAACACCATCAAACTTTCCTAGCGCTATCGAAGGGAAGACCAAGATGGTGTGGCCTTTTGTGTGGTCGCAGTCTCCTTTCGTTGTATAGAAGTTGTTTAACCTTATTTTCGTAACTCGGTCATATTGT